CCGTGACCGTGTGTGCGGGCTTGCATAGTGCCATTCATATAATCGTGCAGTACGTCGCATGCACCGGACCCAAAATGAAGAAGGCGTCACATCAGGGTAAATAAATTTACCAGAAGGGGAATGAAGCCGGGGGCAGCACGGGGGTGCAGTGCTTAGACCTGGGCTTGAGTCTCCGCCAGGGTCCCATGTGTGTGGAGTTTGCATCTTCTTCCCGTGTCGTCCCCCCATAATGTAAAAACATGTTGAGGTTAACTGGCATTACCAAATTACCTGTAGGTGCGAATGGTGTGTGTGTCTGCCCTGCGATGGGTTGGCACCCCATCCCGGTTTGTTCCCTGCCATGCGTCCATAGGCTCTGGACCCCCCCCCCCCTTGATAATGGTTACGACAAGCGGTTACACAAAATGGATGGATGGAATTAAGCCACTCGTTGCTGTCTCCTAACTACGATGTGATACGTTCATGGAAACGTTGCAGCCAAATAGCCAAAAAGAGTGCTATAAAAATCTTACTAATCGATTAAACACCGCCACCCCCCCCCACCTACCCAAAAGGGACTCATACCATTCTGCCAAAAAACAGAGCTTCCCTCTTTTTTAATAGGCAATTTAAACAGCTTTCCCTTAAACACCTGAACTGGCAGCAATCAGTTTGGGAATAAAGCGCCCTAATTATGACAAACTGTCTGTCATCAGAGGGACCCAGCTCCCCTATTGAAGGAATTTAGGGTAGTGACACCCCTTCACCCCTCCCAAAGGCACCCAGGGAAGCAAATGCCCCCGTTCTCAGCTTTGTCTGAAAACTGTTTCTTATTTCTGTCATATCTGTTTAATCATCAATGCGGGGGTTGGTGGATGGGGGTGNGGTTATGCGCTCGTATGTTCCGGATCAATCTTTCTTTTAATTTCTAAAACCGCTGCCACAGTTAATTCCACCGCTAATTTAGATAATACGAATGGTCGTGTCATCCGCTTATGACCTGCTGGAAGATTCTGCAGAATAAGCCCTGCATTTCTCGTCCCCTCCCCCCCCAAGGGAGCCTAAATGTATTACTTCAGAAGCTCGCTCAAGCCAAATTAATTACTCACTCCTCATCTGACGGACAGCTGTCGGGACGAAATTGATCGCGTTTGCTGTCAGACAGGGAAATTCATCACCATTAGCCAGATGTGTGTGTGTGTGTCTGTGTGTGTGTGTGTCTGTGTGTGTGTGGTTCTGTGTGTGTGTGTGTTGTACTACAGAAGGGCCCCAAACAGCACATTTTGGCAATGCTTCTTGAAGACCTCCGTAATTTGGAGGACTCCCCTACAACCCTCCTGAGATATTTAGATAAAAAAGTATTTTGAATCAACCTGAGTTCTGGTCACCTTTAAGATGAACACTGTGCAAGGCTGGTCAACCCATAAGGTTATACTGGCGGCTGCCAATCTCACTTTGTTTCAGACAGGGGGCGCCACTGGCACCACGCGGGCTTCAGCTGGTGCTGCTTATCTGCGGGGTGATTCCACATAAGAAAAGCCAGACCTTTGATAATAAGCGGGCCGTCCAGCTGGATTAGCGATGTCGGCCCTCTGCTAACGCTAAAGAGTAATGGAGCACAAATTAGTGAAGGTTTTATCATCAGTCACAGCTTGGGCTTTCAGCTGCAGGGTGTGTCCGCTCCTATGAAGCATTTCCAGATGGAGAAATAGCAAATGGACTGATTAATTAAATCAAGAATTCATCGTTCGGTGGTTGTTTGAGAAGTATGAAGCGCTAAGTGAAATGTCGGCCATTTTGTATGAATCTCCTTTGAACCTCCATGAACGACTTTTTTTTCCCATAGGCTTCTGTGACACAGATTTTCTCAACTGCTACAGTTGAGTGAGAAGGAAACATTACTCACCAGCTGTCCCACTGTGAAGAATTTTCCGGTAATTTGGAGATACTACCCCCCTACAACCTGTGAGAGGAACATGAGGGCAAATCGGCACAAACCCTAAAATACTGGCAGGCACAACCGAATAATTCATAGATGGCTGATGCCTGTCACTGTCTTTTCATTTGAAAATCCAAATAAATGTCATTTTTCGCACAGAGCTGTTAGATTTTACACCCGCCGCTGAGGCCCAGTGCTCCCTCTGCCATGTTTGCTTTAATGGCCAGTTCTCTTTGCACTGTGTTTACAGAATGAGCCAAAAAGCGGTGATTTGTCCAAGGCGAGGGGTTGTGAAGTTGTGTGGGTCTCTCGACGTGGACGCCGGCCAAGTCCGAGCGCTGCCGTTCTCGGTACTGTGCCCGAGATGCTCGAACGTGGTGCCGTTTGGGGCGAAGGTGCCCAAGGGTTTCCTGGGCAAGTCCGAAGGGGGCTGTAATCGACGCCATCATGTGGACCTCAAAAGTGAAAGAAGAAAGTAGGAGAAAAGCAGAAACGCAGCACAGGCATAACAAAATGCAAGAGTGAGAGAGACAGAGAGTCCTAAATCCCTCACTTCCCATGACACCCCATGCCCCGCCCTTTGTATTTACACCCCTACTCCCGGAATTAGTTTGTCCGGCCCCATTTAGCTGAGGTGTCGTTACGCTCCCCCCAAATTGCCTGGGATTACACGGATATCACTGATCGAGCATCGCCAGCAGTTTTTCGCCAGCAGATGTCACGGGGATGTGGATTCCCCCCCAACCCGTTAAGCAAGTGATCTAAAATCTAATCTAAGTCTCTCGCACAACTCCGACCTGGAGTTTAATCGTGGCAACCTGCCGAGAGTCACGTGACTGCCCTCATCACAGGGGGAACTTTGTGGCCGCAAGGTGCCGGAATGTTCCGGTTCGTCGTGGACGGCGCGAGAGCAGAGGTCGGCATGTAGCCTCAAACTCAACCCAACAGAGCATCTACGGAATTCGCCATGCCAAGGAATTAGGGCGCAGTGGAAGCTGGTCATCTCCAGGATGGACTGTGCTGATGTTTTGAAGGAGGAGGGGACCGTGACTCCGTTACACACTGAAATATTCATTATTGTGAAGCACGCCCCGGCATTAATATCTCAGAAAAGGGAGGCGTATCAATATTCAGAACCAGAATCAGAATAATTCACCAACTACAAAAAGTACAAGGAGTTTATTTTGGTGCAGGTGGTGGCACAAGGTATTCAATTAAACATATAATCTAGACAAAATCCAATAAATTAAAATGAAATGGAGACAAAAATAGAAACAAAAATGTGCGAATGATAAACAAACACAGATGTATAAGTAAAGGTCAGAATACTAGATGTTGGGTACAAGCAGCTTTGGGGTATGTGTAGATAAGTTTATAAGTGATAACTGCCAGTGTGCCTCTCTTGGGGTCTTTGTTTAGCAGGACAGTGGCCTGGGATGAAAAGCTGTTCAGGGGCCAGCGAGTCCCTGTGCTCTCCTAGCGAATGACATTAGAGTGTGGAATCCAGCGCTGACGTGTCCTGGGGTCCCATGCAGGATGGCCGCGTGCTGTTTGTGCCGGCGAGTTCCACGAAGAGCCGCGTGGGCTGAGGCGTGACACAGTACGGGAACATGCACCTGCCGTCCTCGGTGCTTGTGCATAAAACGAGAATTTAATATGCATTTATTCAGCTGGCGGAATGGAGTTAGGTGTGCATTGTGTGCGAATGAAGCGGATGGTGCGAGCCTGTAATAGGGCTGACGATGTTTAATGCAGAGGTGCATTCTGGGTCTTTGTTCACTAGTTCCATTACTCTGAATATAATGCATATACTTTGTATTGTTGTGTTAAATATCATTAGTTGATTCACGGGTGGAACAGAAGGGCTGGAAAATGCATTTGTTTGCATTTCTTCCCCATTTCTCACTTTTAATGGGGTTTTGATGAGCCAGTGACCACAGCAGGACCTTCAGTTGTGTCAGGGAGGTATTGAAGAAAGATACTGGAAGCTGATTATAAAGGAGCAAAAAGAACAAGTAGGAGTAGATAGTGAGAAGATACCAGCTAATGATTTAATTAGCTCAGCCAAGGGATTCCATTTGAAAGACCTGCTCAGTACCATCTGTAGACACACTGAGCTCTGGTTTTCTTCACCTATTGCTCACATGTTAGCAAATTCATCTTTATGAACATGGACTTAGATTGATCATAGTTGTCGATCCACCAAACTTTTGGTCACAATGAGCCAGGAGCTTGTCATAAGGAGCGCAAGAAGATTCTGGATGCGACGCTAATCCGTCACAGGGCACATGGTGGGCAATTTAAGATCACCCACCCAGAGCAGCAGAGATCTTTCCAAAAACCCACAAAAACACATAACTGAACGCAGCAGTCATGTCCCAAGTGCTGCCATATTTGCTGTTTTCCTTCATTGCTTGTTTTGTTCAAATATATGAGATCTCTGTAATGCAGTAGAATTTTTGTCTGTAGTTTTGCAAACTGGCGACTTCTTAAAATAGGAGCAGCCGATTGGTGCATCGGAACTTCACTGTGCTGAACGTTTGTCAGTCAATTGGCTTCAGAGCTTACTGAACCAAAGCCGTCATGATGAGAATTTTAGCCTTTGGCTTTGAAAGTACTAGTTTGGAGTTCATTGGTCATTTCTAGAAACTCGTATTTAATTTACTTATGTATTTATTCATTGAGCTTTTCACTCTGGTGTGTCCCTGAGATGTTTAGAAAAGCACGGATCTTTGTATAAGTTCCTGCAGTTCTTCCCTCTTTGTCTGAGTGACGAACTTCCCTCTGTAGTCTTAACCGATTTGAACGTGGAACATGAATAACAAAAAGCTCCCTCATATCTTCAGTATGCCCATTATTTCTGATCTGACACTTCTTGACGTTGACAGAACGTTTGTTGTGTTCGTCTATAATGCTCTGCAAGGCCATTTCCCTCTAATCACGATCTTTCATCTTCTGATCTCAAACCCCATGTCAGAATCAAGCCTTTGTTTGGTTTTCGTGTTGCTCCTCCTGCTCTGTGCCCAATGAATCACAGAAACTGCACTGTAACTATGATGCGTTTGGTGTGTTTCCATTTCAGGTACACCTTACAGCGTCAAAATAAACCCTTCTGGTAAATGTCACCCATTGGATAAACTTCACAAAGCAGCCATCCCTGGATTCGGGGCTGGATGACTCGTCACGGCTGAGGGAGGGATCCGGGCAGCTGGCGGCTGACAGGTGGTGTCAGGGAAGGTGAGGTCACCCCACGCCAGCGTCCCATTGTGAAGATGTGGAGGGATGCATCAGAGAGCAGGCGGTCAAGGCTGGACACCTTAGTTTCCACTTGATCGATGTACCAGTTGACTCATGCATTGAGTGTAAGTTGATATGTGCTTTTTCTCTCTCAGCCAGGTGCTGAGGCAAATATGTTTCATTCAAATTACTTTGACCAAATACAGACCAAAGTTCCAACCCAGGTATGTTCCTCAGATATGCACACGTGGCCAATGTTTTACACGCAGTGTTTTTAGTATGTGTTGGCCTAAAAGCAGAAGATTCTGGGATTGCCAGTGTTCTTTGACGGTTTTCTTCCCTTGATATTTGCTGGTGTCCTCAGTATACCTGCTCAGCCTTGAGGTGAGAGGAAAATCTCAGCAACACACTGATTGCAAAAAAAGCCACCTGAGTAATAACTTTTATTTTGTGTTTATGTGTTAGAATGAAATGTGGATGAAACGGATTCTGTGAGGTTCTGTGAGACCTATAAGAATGCACATAGTGAGAGCGTGTTCTAGTTGGTTAATTGTTCTTAGCTTGCTGTTTGAAATGCAAGTGGGATTAAACCTGCTGTTAAATTAATGCAAGATTGACGTTCCCTCGTGAATCCTGAAATCAAACATTCCGTCACAGTCGTCCACATTTTGAATGCATCTCAAGGACAGCTCCTTAGATGCAAGGTTAATCTCCGATTGGGCCACTTCTCTCACGAGTCAATATTTCTCAGTCCTCGCCATGCCCGAACATGTGAATTTCCAGTCAAGACCAAACAATCCCAAAACGTGGATTGTGGGACAGCATTCCGGGCTTTGGGAATCTTTTTGGGTTAAAGCTTAAAGCCACACCCATTTTTGTCATTCGAACTGGCCCACTGAAGTGAGGTCCCCATTTGTCAAAATAGATTACCCCTAATCGATAATTAACTTCTGCGAATAACATCCGGGACGGCAGACAAAGAAGAAGACCGTGGGAATGATTGGGAATTCTGTGTCACGGTCCCCGTTAAAGCGACGGCCCTCGGGAATACACTATTTCATCTACAAAGGACATCTGGAGGTACTAGTTTGTCTGATTTACAGCTGAGGATGGGGGTGGGGTGGTGGGGGCGGAGTCAGACTCCCAACGAAAGCCAGGATATGGATGACATAAAATTTAAATTGCTATACGAGAAGGTATATGTTTTATAAAAAAAAAAATGCAGGCCCCATAAAAGACTTTTGATGATACTGTTCTGATGTAAAATGTCAAATCGTTTATCTTTGTTCGATGTATTGTTTCCATAATGGGCTCTGGATGTGTCTATATTTAATCTTTTTACTTCCTAAAAATAATACAAGAAGATGTATTGGTGATGTCTGTGTTTCCTTTTTTTAAACAGTCCCGGCTTCCCCCCATGTCTGATGTTCCCCCAGATATTTCGATTCCCCTGTCTTGTACTACATGGATAAAAAAAAAAAAATCCAGGTATATTTTATTACCTGTGACAGGTTTGTATGAGGGAGAGGAGACTTCGTGATCAGCCGCTCGGAAAATTGCTGATAATTGTTTGAGCGTCTACTTTCATGGGTGCGTTAAATCTTCCTGGTGAGAATTCCGTTACGCGCGAGCTTAAGATAGACCTGAATTGGTAAGGAGGTGCAAGATGGTGAAATTGCTCAAATTCACCAGCTCCTTTCCTGCCAGTGAATCAGCCTGAATGTAACAAGGACATGCGTAGGACCTGCAGATGCAGAGAATAAATCGAGAATCTATTACAGTCTGTCCCATTCAGGAAGGAAGTGCACCAACTCGTGAACAGGTCCTAAGACCTTATCTTCGATGCACACAGTACCTTTTATGGCCACTGGGGGTGTGGGGCACCTTTCCAGGCTCCCCATTTAACTTTTCTGGGTGGAAACCTGTAAGGTGAAGGTGAAATGTGATGGTCACATCCTCCAATGGAAGAGGAGGCCCACAAACCAGACCCCACAGAGCAGTGCCAGTCAACCCATTAGCTGACATAGGCGGCCACCTAGGGCACCATCTTCTGGTGGGGCACCAACTTAGCAAGCCAATTTCACTTTGTCTCAGACTTAAAGAAACATATAAGATGAATATCCTTTGGGAACATGGATGTTCTTTATCATATTAAAATGTGATAAGCATGCAGATTTCCTGTACAAACCAGCTGTTTGTCCCTGATTTTAATGCAGGGCTTTGCGCCGTATTATGGCCCCTTGTGTAATCTCTCTAATTGAGGTGATTGTATTAGATTAGGTGATATTAACTTTGCCTTTGTGACTGTGCAGCCCGACAGTGTCCCCATTAAACTTGCCGTGTGCGTTTAAGGTGAAGTCAGAAGCATGCGGGGGTCGCTCCATAATTCCGATTCAGCCTGTTGCTAAGCACCCAGGGGGGGGGGGGGGGGGGGGTGAGATCTTGTAATTTTCCACACTCTTCCTTGCCTCCCGCTGTTCATTCCGGTGCCATGGACTTGTGGTTTTTTATCTTTTTGGCATCAAGACAATTAGGCATCCCCGCCGCGCGCGTTAGCTGTTACCTGTTAGCCACGTTCCCCACATGCCTTCCAAGGGAATTAAATGAGCATGGGAAGAGGAATTACTTCAGGTACATGTGGAATAGCTGGGGACAAAGAGCAGGGGACAACCTGGGAGCTATCACAGAAGAGGGGACACAGGGGACATTCTGGGAGCTATCACAGAAGAGGGGACACAGGGGACATTCTGGGAGC